GGGGCCTCGGGGGGCTTCAGCCCCCCCCCCCCCCCCGAAATTTTCATGGTGGTTCGCGAAAAGGCCTTATTGGTGCATTATTTAAACTGTTATGTTTATTCATATCATGATCTGATCACCATACTCAATATATCCCATATGCATGGGGGTATTGGGTAATGATACAAAAGGTTTGCTAGGCTAGACCCTCTTTCACTCAGACTCAGCCCCCCCTCCGAAACTCAGCCCCCGAAACCCCCCCCCCCCTGAAAAAAATTAACCCCCCCCCCCGAAATGAATTTATTTAAGCCATGCATTTTGCAATCAGGTAGCTTCCCCAGGTTGCAGTCATAGGTCCAGCAACCTGGCAATCATCGTTACAGCCTTTAGGCCCGCCCCTTTCCCCAGGGTTTTGGAGGGAAAGGAGTACTTTTGTTCAGTCTTACTTTTGGAGCCTATCAGCAGGACATGTGGCTTTCTCTGTCTCATTACTCACAGTTTTGCTGGGGAGTAAAGGAATAATTCCACAGCTTTGCTGGGGAGTAAAGGAATCGTTCCACAGCTTTGCTGGGAAAATACAGCCAGCTTTTCCTGGGGCAACAGGACAGTTCCTACAGCCTTTGTGGAGAAAACTAAAGGACACCATTTCAGCTTGGCAGATCTACAGAAACCTTGTCTGGTAAGGGGCCACTCGGGCTATCCATAAAGTAGCTTGGAGCCGGGAGTAGGGGCCTCACGCCAGCAAGGTAGAGAAAGATTGCCCAAGGAGGGGTCAGAAGATTTCCCTAAGGAAGAAAGGAACACTTTACCACCAGTTGCCTGCCCTTGTTGGCAGATTGAGGAAGCTACCAGGTTTCCAAGGTTATAAAGCATTTAATTCATTGTTTGAAGATTTAAGCCCAAATAAAGAACTTTGTTGAACTTATTTTGAGCCTCAATAGAACTTTGTGTTGGGAAATCTAAGGGGCCCTTCAGCTGAGGCACCCTGGCGTCCCATTGGGCATACAGAAGGCACGTCCTGTAAACAGACATTATTTCAGGCCAAGTGTGTGACAGCACAAGCATGATATAGGGATATTTGTCCGTTTGTTTAAAAATGCAATGCAACTGTTTGGTCTGCTCCTGACACAATAAATAAATGATATAGGGAGCCCCCAGTAACGCGGCGGGTTAAACCGCTGAGCTGCTGAACTTGCTAATTGAAAGGTTGGCATTTCATATCCAGGGGGTGGGGTGAACTCCCGCTGTTAGCCCCAGCTTCTGCCAACCTAACAGCTGGAACACATGCAAATGTGAGTAGATCAATAGGTACCATTCCAGCGGGAAGGTAATGGCGCTCCATGCAGTCATGCTGGCCACATGACCTTGGAGGTGTCTACGGACAGCTTAGAAATGGAGATGAGCATCCCCCCCCCCCCCAAGAGTCAAACTCGACTGGGCTTAATGTCAAAGGGAAACCTTTTCCTTTGCCTTTAGCATGATACAAATAATGGTGAATCCCTTGCAAGGTTTAGCCATCAAGGCCAGGCATGTAGCCGGGGGGGGGGGGGGATTGAGGGGCTTCAGCCCCCCCCCCCCGAAATTCTCATGGTGGTTCGCGAAAAGGCCTTACTGGTGCATTATTTAAACTGTTATGTTTATTCATATCATGATCTGATCACCATACTCAATATATCCCATATGCATGGGGGTATTGGGGTAATGATACAAAAGGTTTGCTAGGCTAGACCCTCTTTCACTCAGACTCAGCCCCCCCCCCCGAAACTCAGCCCCCCGAACCCCCCTGAAAAAAACTTCAGCCCCCCCCCCCCCGAATCGAAATCCTGGCTACAGGCCTGATCAGGGCAATTCTGCTTTGACTGAAATCCGATGTAATGTTAATTATATTGATACCATCAACATGTATTGTTTGTTATGTAAATGTGTCTTTGAAGCTGGGATTTGCATATTAAGAGCTACTTCGGGCTTCTTATTGGGCTACTGTCCAAGCTTGGCAAAGTTACTTTTGGCCATGCCTGTTGGAAGAGTCTGGGAATAGTAATCAAAACTGTAACATGCCTGTATATTAATTGCTATTTCCATACTTTTCAAGTTATCTTTATGTGATTTAATATCGTGTCTAGCTTAGTCCTTACGTGAAATCTGTTTTGGATTCAGGGCATTAAGTCTTTGAGTGGGAGCTGCTTTTATCAGTGGACAGTAACATGAGTAATTGTTTCTAGCGCTGATCCAAATATTTTCCATTTAATTTCCCTTTCCATGTGGTACAGCCTTTAACGCTCATCAATATGAATATTACATGCATTTTTAAAATATGGATATATTCTGTTATCAATCAAACTTGCTTACATGATGGTTGCCTTTGCTCCATCCTCTTCTACACAGTGTATGATGCTACTGATTCCAGAAGAGGAAAAAGGAGGAAGCTGTGATAAATGGCGGAGGGGAACAGGGACAGGGAAATGGATTAGGAAGAGCTCTCAGTGGGATGCTAGGAAATACCTGTATTAAATAGAAATCAGACTTGCTGAAACTCAATCCATCTGGGGTTAATAGAATAGATTACATACTCTCCAGAAACCAAGGAAGTGAAGCATGTGTTTTGTGTTACGACATTTCAAGGGTTTTACTGTCCTTCTGTTTCTGGAGACAGAAAGATGTCTGTAGTAGCATGATTGTTTTGTTTTTTTCTGAGCTGAATTACTTTTCCCTTCTGTTAAAAATTATTTCCTACCTTGCTTTTGAATCAACCTTCTGTTTTGTCTAAGGGAATTCCCATGACTTTAATGGAAACAAGAATCAGGGATAAAAGTAGCAGAATTGCAGGCGGGGGGTTGAGGATGGAGTCATATTTTCCATAATGTCTTGACTTCTTGAGTAGAGAGGTGAGGCTGACTACATGTGTTTTCCCAGAGTTATAAAAAGGGTGAAAAGAAGGGGCACATTGGCCAACTGAAAATCCATCATGGTGGTGAGACCTCTGGATTTGGGTTTGTTTAAAGTCCCCTCCCCCAGCAATGTCCACTACATTTGATAACTTCTGCCTAACCTACAACAGTCAATGCTTGGGCATGTTTGTTTGTTTGTTTACAGTATTTATATTCCGCCCTTCTCACCCGAAGGGGACTCAGGGCGGATTACAGTGTACATATATATGGCAAACATTCAATACCATAGACCAGGGGTCCTCAAACTAAGGCCCGAGGGCCAGATACAGCCCTCCAAGGTCATTTACCCCCTCGCTCAGGGTCAACCTAAGTCTGAAATGACTTGAAAGCACACAACAACAACAACAATCCTATCTCATCAGCCAAAAGCAGGCCCACACTTCCCATTGAAATACTAATAAGTTTATATTTGCTAAAATTGTTTTTCATTTTAATTATTGTATTGTTGTTAAGTGTTTTGTGCACTACAAATAAGATATGTGCAATGTGCATAGGAATTCATTCATTTTTTTTTCAAATTATAATCTAACCCTCCAATAGTTTGAGGGACTATAACCTGGACCTCTGTTTAAAAAGTTTGATGACCCCTATCATAGACACATAGACACAACATATATAGAAAGACACACAGAGGCTATTTAACATTCCAGCTTTTTCATGAGGATATTTTGGTCACCAGGGAGCTGTCGCTTCACCGTCCACTTATGAAGTACTTCCTCATTTTTTGCATGCTTGCTGGAGATTTTTATGGCGTCGTAAATTAGCCTCCCCACATAAGCGGTATCTAAATTTCCTACTTGACAGATGCAACTGTCTTTCGGGCTGCAAAGGTCAACAGCAAGCTACACAAATTGGTCAGAAGCTCACTCTGACCCGGGCTGGCTTTGAACTCATGACCTTTCGGTCAGCAGTGATCTTAATGCAACTGACTCCCAGCCAGCTGTGCCACAGTTCCATGTGCCCTGTCTCAGGGATTTTGGGCATCTTCAATGAAGGTCTCACCCCCATCAGAAGCATTTCATGATGGCAAAAGTGAGCACTTTCTCATTGCAGCTCCATGGCTCTGTAACTCCTTATCAAGGAAGTTATGCTGACCCTTCTTTGTTGACCTTCAGCTGGCATGCAAAGGTGACTTTATTCCGTCAAACAAGCTTTTGGCATTTAAATTTGGCTGATGCTCAGATGGGATCTAAATGGCTGGGTTCCAGTATTATTATTATTTTTAAAATGTTTTGTTTTAATTTGAATTTTCTTATTAATTATTAACTGTTATCTGCAGTAGGAAGGCAGGTTATACATTAAAGGAACATTTAAGGAACAATCATAACTAAGACATCACCAGATTTTGCCTGCAGTGAAACGTTGACATAGGTTCCTTCCTCGATGAAACCTCCGAAGGCTTTCGAGAGAGGCAAACATCCTAATAAATTCAGATAAAATTCTCAGAGATTGAGAGTAGGGGCTGAAGTTTTATGTACCTCTTCCTTGTGACTTGATTTCTCATTACTTGATTATTTAGCTGTTGTCTGGCAGAAGATTACGTGAAGACGTGAGCCCCTTAAAAAGCATTGTATGTGAGGTAATATTGGAATTCCGCTTCTGTTTGGTTATGGCCTTTTTGCTCTTTTTGGCTGCATCTGTCTGTCTCAATAATGCAGCCCTGCAAACATTTGCTGTGGAGCAGCCTAACACATATGTCAGTGAGTATTTTTCAGAACCGCTTTCGAATATCTGGCTCAGTTAACTAAATTTTGTTATTGCATGGTGAAACATCATAACAGTTGCATTTATTCTACTTCCTGTCTGACAGTAACATAAATGTTGGGTTGTTTTAGATTTTTTGGGCTATATGGCCATGTTTTAGAAGCATTCTCTCCTGACGTTTCACCTGCATCTATGGCAAGCATCCTCAGAGGTTGTGACCTCACAACCTCTGAGGATGCTTGCCATAGATGCAGGTGAAACGCCAGGAGAGAATGCTTCTAGAACATGGCCATATAGCCCGAAAAACCTCCAACAACCCTGTGATTCCAGCCATGAAAGCCTTCGACAATACATTGAACATAAATGTTCATTTGCAGGATTCTGTGACTGAAGATGATCAACCAACCAACCAAATAAATGAATTTGATTCAGAAAGACCGCCTCCAGGTTTGTTGTTTAATTGTTTGTGGAGACTAATAAGTGAGGAAATGTTTGACAATCCCTGACTTTCTGAGGAGAGTGGTGACATATACAGTGACAACCCTCCACTTTTGCAGGGGTTGGATGCAGCCTCTACCAAAAGTGGGAAAACTAAATATCTCCGCAGGGGAGGTGGAAGGCTACCTGCTGTGGTCCCAGGATACTCCCTTGCCCTTCTGCCTTTTTCTCTTCACCATCCTTCCCTCTTTTTTTTTTGCCTATCTGCTCACTTATTCTCCCTTCCTTTCTCTGCTTGCTCACCCCACACCGCTACCTCTTTATCTAGTGACCATGATTGAGAAGGGGGAAGAAGCCCCATAAGGTAGCCTTTCTTATTGCCCAGGAGGGTTGGGTGGACATACAGTGAGCAATTGGAAAGGCAGAAAAAGAAACAGTCATGAGGTACTCCATTCCATTCTCAGCATGCAGGAAGAGGAGCTGGGATCTGCTGGGCAGGTGAAGTGGCAGTGGCACAGGGCACTTGCTCCTCCTCCTCTTTCCTTCCTTCCCCCTTTC